AAAGGGGAGGAGGTCATGGGAACCTCAGATGTGTGGCCACGTCATACAGAAGTTGTGGGCAACCTGGGCATCGAAGATGGGAAGCGGTCAAGAGACTGAGCCCTTCACTGCGGGACCTGGCGCGACTCCGGGTAGATGGTGTCAGAACGGAGTGAAACTGTAGGCACCCAGCTGGCGTCCAGAGAACTGCTTGGTGGGGGGAACCTCCAACATTGGGTGACTGGAAGTGTCAGAAGTCAAGTATTCTGTGTGAGAGTAACGAAACCAAGAACAACACACCAAACCCTGCGGACGGAGGGAACTCTGACTTAGAGTTTCCATGTTATGCTATTTGAAATGTCCATTTCCCAATAAAAACTTACAACACACACATGAACAAGGAAATACAGCCCCTCCACAGAAAATAAAGTAGCAAGTCAAAAAGTGTCTCGGCAAAAGAGGCCATACAGACGGCCAAGAGGCATGAAAAGGGGCTCAACGTCACTACTCATCAGAGACGTCACTACTCATCCGCCATGAGATGTCACCTCGCCCCTGTCAGCAGGCGGCAAGTGTTGGCAAAGGTGTGGAGCAAAGGGAACCCTCGTATGCTGCTGGGTGAGACTGCAGACTGGTGCAGCCACTGTGGAGAACAGGAGGAGTTTCCTCAGAAAATGGAACTGCCTTATGATCCAGCGATTCCACTTCCGGGAATATGTCCACAGAAACCCGAAACACTCATTCGAAAGAATATATGCACCCCTATGTTCACTGAAGCATTATTGGATTTAAAAGACAACTGAATAAGGTAATAATTATAAAAGTGGACCAATGACTTTATGATGCATAAAACAAGGAATGGGGCTATCATAAAGTTTTGTATACTTTTGAAATTAAGTTGAAATTCATCTGAACTAGATTGTTTTATGTTAAGAAGTTCATTGTAATGCCCAGGGCAACCACTAAGAAAATATCTCCAAAAAAAAAAATCATAATATCCTCAGGAATGATGAAGTCAAGGTCTATGAAAATTCTCTTCTCTAGAAAAGCAACAACAAGAGACTTAAAATGACACACTAGAAAATATATATTTAACACAAGATAGCACAGTTATGGAGGAATCTGGAAATTAAAAAAAAAAAATAGAAGACCTCACAGAAAACCAATAGCAAGAAGGCAAACATAAGCTACGTGATTATCAGTAATTAAATTACATATAAATAAGCCCTCCATAAAAAGGCAGAGATTGTCAGAATACATATTTTAAATGATACAACTATATGCTGTATCAAAGAGACACTTTAGATTCAGAGACATAAGTAGGATGAAAGTAAAAGTTTATAAAGATATACCATGCAAACAGTTCCATGCAAAAAAAGAATTGCAGTGGGAATACTAATATCAAACAAAATGGACAGTAAGACAAAAATTGTTAATAGAGAGAAAGAAGAATATTTTTATAGCAAAAGAGTGGGTAAATTCAAAAAACATACAAAATGATTAGTATAAACATATGTGTACCTAACAAAAAGGCTACAGAATACAAAAGTAAAAACTACCAGAGCTAGAGGGAGAAGTCGCCAATTTAACAACCATTGGAGGGGCCATTATTCCACTTTCCACAATGGATAGATCAGAAGATCAACAAGGATAGGTACGACACGGAGCACACACAGAACACACACGTGACACCGTCAAGAAAGTGAAAAGACAATCCACAGAATAGGAAAAATTGTTCAAGTCATATGTCTCGCAAGGATCTGGTATCCAGAATATAAAAAGAATTTGTACAATCCTATATAATAAAAGGCGAACGACCCAAATTGACCCTAATGGTGGAACGACCCGGGAACAACCGGTCGCTATCACGCGCACTGACCACCAGTGGGCAGACGCTCAATGCAGGAAGCTTCCCCTGGTGGTCAGTGTGTTCCCACAGGGGGAGCTCCACTCAGCAATTAAGCAAGAGCCGGGCTTATGTCTCGAACTCAGCAGTTTTGCCGGAGCCTATCCAGCCCCCGCTGGCAGCCCTGAGAATTTTCTTCTGCAGCTTAGGCCCACAGTCGGACATCCCCCAAGGACTCCTGACTGCCAGCTTAGGCCCAATCCCTTGGGGAATGGGCCTAAGCCGGCAGGTGGACATCCCCCGAGAGGTCCCAGACTGCAAGAGGGTGCAGGCCAGGCTGAGGGATGTCCCCACCACCACCACCACCACCAGCAAGTGCAGGAATTTTGGTGCACTGGGCCTCTAGTATAAAAGTAATTCGATAAATAACTATTTTTAAATCAGCAGAGGATTTGAACAGACATTCCTTCAAAGAATATATACAAATGCCAATAAGCACACAAAAAGATACTCAACATAATTAGCCATTAGGGAAAAGCAAATCAAAACCACAATGAAATCCCACTTCGCATCCACTGGGGTGGCTAAAATCAAAAAGGGAAACCAATAACAAGTGCTGGCAAGGATATAAAGAAATTGGAACCTGTAAACATAGCTGGTTGGAGTGTAAAAATGGGTGCACTCACTCTGCAAAACTGTTTGGCAGAACTCCAAAATGATGAAGGTAGAGTTACCATACAACCCAGCAACTCTTCTCCAAGGTGTATACCCAGGAGAAATTAAAACACATAGCCACACAAAAACATTTACACAAATGCTCACAGCAGAATTATTCCTAATAGCCAGAAAGTGAACACATCTTGACTGTTCATCAACTGATGAACAGATATGGTATACCCATAAAACGCAATTTTATTTGGCTAGAAAAGAGTGAAGTACTGCTATAACAGGTGTCAACACTGAAAGCATTCTGGCAAGTGAAAGATGCTAGCCACAAAAGACTCCACAGTATATAATTCTAATATGAAATGTCTAGAATCAGCAAATATATAGAGACAGAAAGCAGAGTTGTGGTTGCCCTGGCCTGGGGAGTGGCTGCTAATAGGCACTGAGCTTCTCTGGGGGTGATGAAAAAGGTTCTGGAATTACACAGAGGTGATGGTTGCACAGCTTTATAAATATATTAAAGCCACCTGAATGATATACCTTAAAATGGTGAATTTCATGGTATGGAATATCTCAATAAAGCTGTTACTTTTTTTAAATCCGTAAAGAAAATGAATACCCACAGAATGACTTACCAAAAGAGAAAATACATTATATTTTGTCTTATAATCACTCAGGGCAACAAACAGTCACTGACCCAGATCGTGCTAGATGCTGGGGATGCAAAGACAAACCATCAGCAGTCCGGACCCACAGGAAATTTTGTTGTTAACAAGAAAAAAAAATCAGTAATAAGTCTTTGGAAAGAATTTTGATTCCTTCCCCTAGTTTTCACTCTCAAAATATACAAAATGCTAATTTTAACATAGCAAACTATAATTAAAAACCCAATTCCAACAAACATCAAATATTAGCAGCTGCCCAAATCAACAACTAGATGCCAAAGATAAATTAACTCAAATTCTCTCTCCAGTCACACCTCTCTCCCAGCACAAGAAGGTCCAGGTAGGGTCTAGCCTTCGGGCCTTGACTGCCCTTTGCAGTGTGTGTTCCTAGCCTGAGGGTGCAGAGAAATGTCCATGTCTCCATTCCTACCAGCATCCCAACCCAGGCTGCCTTCCATTTCAGATTTTCAGGGCCTACGTATTATTCCTTCAGGCATCTACCTCTTTCCTTCAAACACGGTTAGTTACTGAGGTTCTTCGGGTATCTATATATATAAAAGCCTATGCAATCATTACTACCGGATGATGGGCCGGTAGCTATGATGCACACTGACTACCAGGGGGCAGACGCTCAACGCAGGAGCAGGAGCTGCCCCTGGTGGTCAGTGCGCTCCCACAGCCAACCTCCTGTGGTCCCTCCTCCCAGCCGTCCACCCCACATCAAGACTGGGCGAGATGGCCCCAGTTGGCCCCGATCACCAGCCAGGCCAAGGAACCCCACCCATGCACGAATTCGTGCACCAGGCCTCCAGTATATTATATTTTAAGTCAGGTCATCAAAGCAAACACAGTTCCCTTCTTTTATATCTTTTGTTTCTTTTTTATTTAAATATATTTTTATTGATTTCAGAGAGGAAGGGAGAGAGAGAAAGAGATAGCAACATCAATGATGAGAGAGACTCATTGATGGGCTTCCTCCTGCACGCCCCACACTGGGGATCGAGCCCACAACCCAGGCATGTGCCCTGATTGGGAATCAAACCATGACCTCCTAGTTCATAGGTGGACGCTCAACCACTGAGGCAGGCCGGCCAGCATTTTTATTTCTTTTACTTAGTAAAAATTCCAAAGGGTCCCTCCAGGACGGTAACGCTTCTACCTGTGCTTGGTGCCCTGCACTAAGAAAGCCAGGAATCATGCCACCTCATATGCTTTGTTGCTCCAGAACGGGTTGTAAAACAGATGCAGGAAACATGTGGATTTTGTGTGGCCTGAGCTGTTCTACAAACATTTTAATTACCAACATATTATAGTCAAGAGATGCTTTACATACAAATGTACATCTTCAGCTTCACTTGAAAACTCTGAAAATACTAAATTCCCATGTGGCAACAGTTGGGTGAGCTGAGTGGTGACACTTCTTTGTCCTCCGATAAAGAATGTCTCTTCTCTGCCCTAACTAACCGGTTTGGCTCAGCGGATAGAGCATCAGCCTGGGGACTGAAAGGTCCCAGGTTCGATTCCGGTCACGGGCATGTACCTTGGTTGCGGGCACATCCCCAGTAGGAGGTGTGCAGGAGGCAGCTGGTCAATGTTTCTCTCTCATCGATGTTTCTAACTCTCTATCCCTCTCCCTTCCTCTCTGTAAAAAATCAATAAAATATATTTTTTTAAAAAATATGATCCTCACCACTTCACAGGCTTTCCACGCACAACGTTCACCTGTGACCTGCTGCCTCTGAAGGAGTTGAGTCCAAATCCCGAAAGTCAAGGTTTTTTCCAATCATAAAGGGATGCCCTCCTCCCTTCTCTCTGGTTGTAGGCTGGGTGGCCACATCCTCTACCTTTGCCAAGCTCTCCTGGTGTCTCACTCCAACAGCTGCTTCACCTCCTCGGAATCACCATCTTGTCTATCATCTGGGCATCACCCACGTACTGAATTCCTCCAGGGCACACCTGCAGGGGCATCGTCTGGCCTGGCAACCTGCTCCAAGAAGTCTAAGTCCAGGCCACGTGGCAGACAGCACTGAGGACCTCACCCATAGACCGAAAGACCTTCATTTCCAGGTGACTTCTCCTTGCAGGTCAATGTGCCTCCTCACTTCCTGAATTCTGAGTTAAAACAGTGTTTCTCCAACTCACCGTGCACACATGTTTGGGGATCTTGTTAAAACGCAGATTCTGATTTCTGATTCAGTGGGTCTGGCACGGGGTCTGAACGTCTGCGTGTCTAACAAGCCCCCAGGTGACCAGATGCTGCTGGTGTGTGGACTGCACTTGGAAGAGCAAGAAGTCAGCAAACTTACAAAAGGAGAAGGCGGTTCCTGTGATGAGAATTCTCTGAATGAATGAGACCTCCAAGACTTGACTTCCTGCCATTTTAAAACGACAAAAATGCTCATCTTTCAGCATCTGTGCCAACTTAATATCGGACTCACATAAATAACAGCCTTTCATAATGGTCCGTGAGAAGAAAAAGCAGATGGTTCCTTCAGTCATCAGGCATTGATTATTGCACACTCATTCTGTGATCAATACTTGACATTATACAGAGGGGTCAGCCAGCATGCCATATATTCAGAGTGCTTGAAGTCTAGCTGGCAAAAACACTACCAGGAACAAGCAGGGCACCCCTAAAGCACCACCGAATCGCTCTACACTGGTGATTCCCAGGCAGGGTGCCATATCTGCATCAGGGATGGGGGTGGGGGAGATGTCAAATCAAACACACTTCCCACTAACGCCCCTCCCCTCCCCTCCCCAATTATGATGCTCACTCTACCCCCACCGTTACGGTCAAGCACTGGTAAAGGAAGCTGCATTTACTTTCAGGAATGCCTTCTTCTTCAGAAGGGTAAGGTGGGGAGAAGAAGATGAAAACAACTGTTTTTACTTGCTTACAGGAAGACAATGGAGATGTGGAGCCTGGAGAAGTAAGTAGAATTGGTGGGCATTCCAGGTGGGAGGCCTGTGCAAAGAAAACCCAAGAATACTAGAGACCCTTCATGCTTTCTAGCTGAGGTCAGGGACAATACACACCATGTCCTGAAGACCTTTGAGTATCAAGTCCATTTGTCTGAAATGAGGCCAAGCCTAAGGCAAAAGTGTAAGAAAGGTCATGTCCAATTGTGACGTGACCTCTTCGGACCTGTACCCTATGTCACCCAGTATCTTAAAGCACAATCCTAAAGCCTAGGTTCCTCCCACCACGGGTCTCTATAGGCTCCCAAATACCCATCGGACTTCCTGGGCCTAAGTTCCATGTCTTTGTGCTTTCATTCTTCCAATGGGTCACTGACAAGGAGTATGCTTAGTATTTAAAGGATTGTCTATTACTGAAAAAATTACCGCTTTAACCCATTATGGTCAGTGTAGATCTACTTTTTAAAAAAATATATTTGATTGATTTTTTTTACAGAGAGGGAGAGGGATAGAAAGCTAGAAACATCAATCAGCTGCCTCCTGCACACCCCCCACTGGGGATGTGCCCGCAACCAAGGTACATGCCCTTGACTGGAATCGAACCTGGGACCCTTCGGTCCGTAGGCCGACGCTCTATCCACTGAGTCAAACCAGTCGGGGAGAGACCTCCTACTCTTTTAACAGAAAAAAGTTCCTTGTGCTAAGATTGTAGCAGAACTTTTGATATATATATATCAAATAATATATATATATTATTTTCAGAGAGGAAGGGAGAGGGAGAGGAGGTGATAGAAACATTCAATGATGAGAGAGGAATCACTGATTCATTGATTGAGCCCACAACCCAGGCATGCGCCCTTGACTAGAATCGAACCCGGATCCTTTCAGTTCACAGGCTGACACTCTATCCACTGAGCCAAACCAGCTAG